AAGGAAGGAAGGAAGGAAGGAAGGAAGGAAGGAAGGAAGGAAGGAAGGAAGGAAGGAAGGAAGGAAGGAAGGAAGGAAGGAAGACTGCTGGCTAAAGATTGGAGAGAATGGCATCACTGGACAAGGCCTTGGGCATTCCTGTGATGATGAGCAACCTCTTTCTGTGTGTTGCTTCCTGTTCATAATGAGAATGGCTTCTCCCATACATTAGTGGTGGGAACATCTGGAGAAGATCCTGCCTGCGACCACAGGATCCACTACAGCCCAACACAGGCCATTCCTATGAACTGGGTCAATACTGCTGGAATCTTCTACCAGAAGGAGGGTATTTTTCATGTGTCTGGATTCAGTGTGTTGCTGCAAGAATGAGAGCTGTTACAATTAAATACAGATTAAGGGATGTGGAGAGGAGAAAGGCTGCAGGGCCTTCCCCTTTGCAGAAAGAGAAACGTGCAGCTTTTCAGCTAACAACAGGCCAACGAGGAAGCTGGAGAGCCAGTCGAGGGTGGGAGCAGTTCCACCATCCCCTGAGGATGCATTGGCAGACATCCTGGGCAATTTCTAAATACCTGAAAGCATCAAGAAGTGGTTGGTTTTATTGGAGAACTCAAAACTGCTGGAAATATTGCCAAAGATTATCTCCTCCTAGGATTCTTTTTAACCTAGGTGACCATATGGGTCAAATTCTGGGTGAAGTTTCCTGCTGGTCAGTTTAGAAAAATAACCAACCCAGATTCACAGCAGGACACCAGAATCAACCAGAACGAGATGAGAAAAGCTGGATTAGCATTACGCAGAGTGTCTTTTCTTTTTACTGAATAACTATGGTTGCATGTTCATTGTCAGAGGCTTCCAGGTGCAGTTTATATTATGCAATTGCTCTGCTTTAAAACAGAATCCTGTGGCGGGGAGGGGGGTCAAGACAGCTGTATTTCCATTTCTAAATCTCTCACTGCTTTTCCATTTTACTTGTTTTCTAGTTTGTTTTCCGTTGCCATAAAAATAGCAATCACGAAGGGAAAAAGGAAGAATGGACAGAGTTGTTTTCCATGGACAGCACTAACAGCTGATTGCCTTTTTGGAGGTGTTAATTAACAAAGTAGACTTTTTCAGTGGGTTCATATATGTTGAATTGGTTTTGTGAACTGTGTGATGGATGTCTAGGATGAGAGCTGGTGCAGAGAGTACTTTTCTAACCGTTAAAACTCAGTCTAGACATATTTTCAGAAGGGAGGAAGTGGGACTGACGATGTCTCCCTGGCTGGGTTCACGCATCAGACTAGACTAGGTTAAAACAGGATGGAGTATTTTGTGATTCAGCCATCCCATTAAGCCACAATTTGCTTGATCCGTTTGGATAGAGCGGCTTGTTTGTGTAATCCCAGGTTTAAGGTTTCATGGTGGTGAACTCAGCCACCACGTCATGATCAGCTCCAATTCTTGCCTCTCGATCTGGGTGCCTTGTGACTGTCATGGTTGTGATGAAGATGGATAGAAGAAAAGGTAGAAATTAGAAATGTTGTTGAATGGCCAGTCGTGGAAGCCTTGCACCCCCGGCTCAATATTGGAAAAAAGATGGGTATGCATTGGCCAACATGGCATGAAGTGGTACCTTCCTATGCTTTCTGAAACACTGATTTTCCCATGCTGGTTTTCCTGAGGACCATCTCCTCCTGTCTTGGGTCCCTGTTCCTGGAATTTCTGTGCACGGGAGCTCCCTCATCTTCAAAGTCAGTGTTTCTCAAACTTGGCAACTTGAAGACCTATGACTTCAGCTCCCAGAATTCCCCAGCCAGCATGTCTCAAAGTTGCCAAGTTTGAGAAACACTGCTGAAGATCAAGGTCTGTCTGGGGGTGGATCTTTCTTTGGTGAGGGCCATTAAAGACGCAGGACTTGAAGCAATCAAGCAGAGCAACTACAAATTGGGAGAAGTCAGGACGGGCAGTGCATTTTGGCAGTGGCTAAGGCCTGCAACATGTGTGAAGCCACATGACCCAGGTGGGTGCGGGGGATTTCCTTTTTTAAGCATTAATGTGCTTAAAGCATGTTCATTTGTTTCCACCTTGAATGTGGTCATCAGCTTTCCACGTATGGTCAGAGGCCCAAAAAGTGGAGGCCGCATGGGGCCTGGGAGTCCCTGGCCCGCCACCCCTTAGTGTGCTGTAAAGCCTGATACACTTATTGTGTAGTAATGGGTGGGGCCATCCACAACACATACAGAAAAGCATGGGCCTTCAATCGTGCAGTTGTGACCACCATTTTGACTTTTTGGACCCTCCCCGCTTATGGTTCCAGAGAAAGTAGGCTGTTCTCACGGCACCACTGCATTTTGCCAAGGAAGGCAAACCGTCTGGGGGCTCCAAGATTTTGTTCTTCTTTGCGCTTTATAAATTGGGGGAGGGGGTAAACTCCCTAGTCGTGCTCAACATCACCTCTGGGAAACATCTGAGACCTTCTTTTCGGAGCACACGTGTTAGGAGTCGATGATGTAACGTTGAACGGCAACTCTCCCTGCTCATGCATGCAAAATTGCGTCCAAATGTTGAACTGTTTTATGCCACTTTAACTAGAGGAGCTCTTAAAATGCTTTTTGGAAGGGCACCTTAAACATCCTACTCTGAGCTCATCAAGTTGTTTCAAAAAGTATTATGCACTTTTATTGCTTCAGTGGTGCAACTTTTAATAGCTTGGCTTGCACATCCTTTATTTAAGGAGAAATCAACACTATCTGAAAGTATTTTATTTCGACTGGCGTAAGCTCCTGAGTTGCCACCGTATTCGATTGCTTTTCAGGCATGGCAACGTGGGCGTCTGCAGGTGGGGTAAAAAAAAGTCAAGATGGTGGCCACAATGGCATGATTGAAGCACCACCCCTGCCTTATCGGTGTCATGTCCCCAGCACGCTTAAATAAGGGATGGGCTTTGATTGTGCAATCAGGGCTGCCATCTTGACTTTTCTGACCCTTCTTGCAGAGGTCTCTGCATAGAAATTAATGGGAACCTGCATGGCCCATGCATCTCCCAGCCCTGTGCACGAGGGTTGCACAGGAGACCTTCTCGCTAAGCCTTGTCGTTGGGTGACATGTCAGCATTTAGCACAAAAACAAGAGCAACACCAATTTGCACCTTGGCCAGGGCACCGTTTTTCTCAGAGGGAGAACGTGCCCAGCTGCTCTGTGGCGAAATGCAGAAGGTTCTGTTGTGTACCAAACACACACATGCAGGAGCCAGTTTTTTTTAAAGGAACGGACCGCTCATCGAGGTCCTTTAGAGTCCCTACCTGGGTTATGACTGCACATTATCATGGTTAAAACTCATTTAGGCTCCTTTCTAAAGCTAAAGCTTTTAACCAGATCAGATCTATTGTGACTCCAGCAGAGACAGAGAGATCCTTGGTGATCTACTAACAACACAATAAAAACTATGGAGCAAGCTATGGTCTCTGCTCATTCTGTCCTCAAAGGAGAGAAGAACAAAACACGAATGGGACCTGGTGAACATTACACACGAAAACCAATGTCCTGGAAAAAAACCATTCTCCTTTTTGGGGGACACGAATCAAGAGCTTCTTCTTCAGCACCACAGAAAGATTCAACTGCCCTTTGTCCATAGATCTTTCTGTACAGCAAAGAACTCCTGTGTCTGCAGGCAGAACAGTGAAGCCCCCCAACACACTCACCCCTTTGGCCTCTGCCACATGGGACCCCTCTCGAGAAACATCCTTTCCCCGGGCTGCAGCTTGTGGTCAATTTGATCACCCCAGACTACTTCTTAGGGAAGCCATGACACCCGATGGGGCTGGCTGGCAACGGTTGCGCATGTTCTACTTGAGTAGCTCTTTAGGGTTCTTCAAGATGGAGCGTGCTGGGTGTCAGGAAGCCACCAGCGATGGATGGGAGCTCCAGAAAAGAAGTAGTTCAGTGGGGTTTGTCAGGAAGACGTCTCAACAGCAGATATCCCCAGCGGAGGTCAAAAAGGTCAAGTTGGTGGTCACAAACTGTGCGATCAAAGCCCTGCCTTTTTTATCTGAATGAACGTGTGTGGCAGCTGTGACACGTGTTAAAAAAAAAAAGTTGGGTTTTCCATTGCACGGCCCCCATCTTGACTTTGCCCCCCTCCCCCACGGATACCCTGCTTTTCAGATTGTGCTCAGAAATGAAATAGTAAATATTATTGCTGTAGTCGTGTCATATAAGAGTAGGTTTTACTCATTAGAGATGATCAACAATGCCTCAAAATGTGCCAAAATGCTTTGAAAAAGAACCCCAGCATTCTTTGTTACTCATTTAGCAGCCTGCATGGGGACAGCTTGAGAGGAAACATAAGTTTGAATAACATCTGGTTTTATTAAGAATTTCGGTCTTCCCAGTTCTCGACTCAAACAAAATCCTAGGATAACAGGGGAAGAGTACAAAATAATAATTAAAAAAAAGTAAATCCAGACAAAGAATTACATACACAAATACAAATATGCAAAAGTTCTGTGCATAAGTTAGAAGCAAAATTCCAAATCTGTGGTGTATATATTATTATTGTGTGCTTGCCATATTTTAAATGGAAGCATTTCCCATTCTGTGTGGATAAAAGATTCTTTTTTTTTTTCACATTGTAGTAAATTATTATAAAGCCAATGATATTTCATGGCCTATTATTGTATCAAGCTGTGCTTGTTTTCGTTTCGTTTCGTTTTTTTTCTCTTTATGGTTGTATTGCTTTTATTAATGTATAAATATTGTCTGTAAATGACAAACACCTCCGTTACAGAGCATTAATCGTGATCACCCGGCCATCTTCCACTGGAACCAGCAAGAAAGCTTGCAGGAAGCAACTGAGGGCCTCTGTGTGGGCACCCTGGAGCCCCCCATTCCTTGCGCTCAATCTCCGCTGATGCAGGAGACCCCCCCCCACCATTTTAGAGGAGAGAGTGACCCACAATAACGCAAGCCAGAACTAGAGAAAGCAGTAGGGTTTGCGCACGCTAGGCAGGGCTCCTGTGCGTTCTCCAGCCATTGGTGAGAGCTTTGCATGGGAGGCCATCCTGCAAAGCGTTTCTGATGTTCTGATTCCCCATCTCAGGGACCAAAAAAATTAGGCAGCTGCTGTTACAGATTGTGCCCAACGCTTCTACAAGGCTCTGCAGGTCTCAGCAGAATGAGCTGTTTGCAAGAGCCGAGTCCAAACTCATGCTTGAGTAGGAGCCTCCTGTGTAAATGGAGGCTTCCAAGACGTGTCAACCTTAATAGAGCAACGGATGTGTTGGGCCAGCGCCTCTGGAGAGCCCTCGGGCTATTCAAGCAATCATTTTCCCAGGGCTCGGGATATGCAGAACCACAATTGCTAAGATGGCTTCCCTTCCCCTTTCTCACTGTTACCCCGGTGTCCTAGGAGCAAATATGATCGGCTCAAAGCCTCCCAGCACCCGAAACAGAGAAACCGAGACTGGAAGTGCTCAACTTTGGTCGGTGGCGCTTAATGTTCTGTAACAGTGAGGTTGAACTGGGTGTTGTACTATATACGGACGTATAGTACTATGTATGTATTTTCTCTTACTAGGAAGTCCTTGGGCCTCATTATATCAGATAGTCCAAAACTAGCCATTCTAAAGAACGCCTTGCAGAACGAAGCAAGAACAGATTCAACTGAACACTGCAGGTTTTTTTCCCGTCGTTTCTGGATGTACTGCATTATTTGGAAAATCCTACAGACCTACAGAGGGCAAGAGATAAACCTGGGCGAACTCCTGTGCCATCCACGGGACTGTGCATTGAAGAAGCCCAGGCGTCAGTGGGCCAAACAGGTGATGAGAGGCGGCCACCGATTTGGCACTGTGGGAAGGACAGATGAAGACAGCGAATGGCTGCAGCTGGTGGAGCGGATGGAAAACAGGAGCCTCCCCAATAGATTTGGGTGGCAATTAGTGATTCTTCAGCCAGCATAAAAAATTATTCTGTGCCTTTGGCTTGTTTGCATGAGTCATTTTTTTAAAAATACAGTCATTATTCTGTCAGTTCTGATGTTATTAAAAAAAATAATCTGAGCTTTGGTTTTGTACATTCAATTTATAGAGAAAGGAAAGCTTTAGAAGAGGTGGCTGACTTGGAACAGATACAGCAGCCCTCCTCTCCCCCCCAAAAAAATTTGTTCTTGTATTTGTGTAATGAGTCCTCAACCACTGGTGCAGCTAAATAATTTACACCAGAGATGTAATGGCTTTAGGGGCCCCATCCTGCTAAGCTGAAATTCATGTGTATGATTTCAGTTCTAAAGCATCACAACATTGTAAGGGATTATGGAGACTGTTAGGTCCAATTTCCTTCTCAGGAAGGAAAGAATTGAAGACTTCCCAACAAATAGCTGTCCAACCTCTGCTGCACACACATGCACACACACGCACACAGGTTGTTGGTTCTGTTGGCAAGCCTCTCTTCACATACGGAGATTTTCCCAATGTTCAACCAGAACGGCTTGAAATCACAATAGCTGAGACCACACAAGATGCTCGACCAACCACACTCCCGCTTGGTGTCTCGTGTTTAGCCAACCAGTGTTACGCTGCTTAGAATGCGAGCGCTCACAAACCAAACTCTGCTGAAGGAGAACTTGTACTGGCCCAGAAGGCTGGTGTTGGAGGGAAACCCCCTCCCCAAGAGATGAACCACATCTGGAGCCCACAAATAGATGGTGAACACTTGGCAGGTTGGCCAAGAATGTGGGAGACGCAGGGTTTTGTCTGTGTTGGAGAAGTTCTGCAGATTCAGCCCAAGCGGGCTGACTTGGGAGGGAACTGACACATGCCAGAGTTCCCCGAAAGCTGACTGTGCAGAATATGAAGCCTCCCCAAACTTGCAAGTATCTGCAAAAATGGATATATTTCTTCATAGGAAGAGCTTGGGAAGAAAGTATAGGAGGTGGTGGCTGTGACAGTGTGATTGAAGCTTTGGTCTTTTTTTGTATGTGTCATGCACATGTGTGTAAAAAAGGGGTGGGGCTTCAATCGCACAGGTGGGGCCGCCATCTTGAGTTTTTTTAACCCCTCCCCCCTGGGGATGCCCTCAGCTGGGGAACAAAACCAAAAAATGCTAAAAAAATACGCCCTGGGAACCCTTATGTAGGGAATTCATAAAATGAGTCCAACCTGCGATTTCAAGATCAGGGTTAGAATCAAATGCAGGCCTAACCAAAGAGCCCTCTTCAATTTTCACAATTTTCACATACCTAAGACCACACCTAAGACCAAATCTGGGTCGTTGTGGGTGGCACTTGTCACTGAAGGAATGCTATTGATCAGGGATGCTCAAGTAAGGAAGATTACGCGCTTGTTTTTATTCAAAGAGCAAGGTACAAAAAACAAAGTTGGGAGAACAATTTAAATGATAAAGTTATACACAAAACGAACCATGGTCCCATCCACCAAGACAGGCCAAATACGTACATTCAAAGAAAACAAAGAAAAAAAGGAATGATTGCCCAAGTATTCCAGTTTTACACACACACACACACTTTGCTCAGCCCAACTAGTAATGAGTTCAAGAGGCAGAGGAAACAAGGCCATGTGCCATGGAGAACACTGGCCATGGTGCAAGTGATTGGACTCGTGCGGCGTTCCAGGGAAACCCCTGCAACAGACTCGTGGTTCTCTGGGGCCAAGGGCGGGTGCTTGAAAGCATGGGGAACACTCTGTGTAGAAAGTGAAGCAGGAAGATGTCTGCGGGCCTCCCCTTTTGGACTGGCCTCACTTCCAGCCTTGTATGCCATGTGGCTTCTGGAACTACGTGTGGCCTTATTTCTCCTGATCAGCACATTCTCCCTGGAGTGTGCTTCCCCAACAGACTTAGAGTAGCACCGACAAGCTGAGTGAAGAGCCCTCTCCAACATCCTAAGGCTTTTGACTGTTATGGGCAGCTCAGATGTGAATCCAGCAGCCACTGAGAAGGATGGAGAACAGCACCTGGACATTACATGAACACCAACATTTGCAAAGTGACTTCTCTTTATAATAAATTTCAGAACTATCCAGGTTCACCAGTAACTGCAAACTACAACTTCATTCATGAACGGAAAGCATCATGTTGTGGTGAGCTGAATATGCATGCTGTAAACTTGAAAGGAGACGGCCCACGCGCTCAGCAGGCTGTCCTTAAATGAGACAGCTTCCGACTAATGGATCCCGCAGGTCATCTTTCCCTTCTACTGCACAGTGAGGAAAGAAGGATGCAGGTCAACATCTCCCCCAAACATCAGGATATTTATTTCTTATCCAATAAAACGATGCCGAGAACAAGCTGAGAGTCAGCTTACCTCTGTATTCTGGCATATTTTAAATTTCTGCTGAGTTTCTGTGCAACTTGCCTTTTCTCCATTCTAGAAGTATACCAATGAAAGCCTTTTTAATGCCATCACTGTCCCGTTAACTAATGAGAAGTAAGAGGGGCATATTTTGGTCAATCTAGATTTTTATTATGTTTGCATCCTCTAGATATCAGAGTAGGACGATCCTTCCTGATGCATCTATTTGGCCAAGGAGCATATCTTTGGTCCTCTCCTTATACTGTATGTCTTCCCTTTGGCATTATTCCCACCATAGATATTTTAGAATCCTTTTAGCTCTCTTACCCACCACAGAAATATCAGCATAATAACCAGAAGAACAGAGGGCTGGTCTAGTTTAAAAGATTGTTCAAAGCAAATGTATTTGGATTGAAAGAAATTCTGTCCATTTCAGATGATCGAAGAAGTACGGGACTTTGAAGTACTTGAAGGCCCTTCCTCAATAAATGTCCAACTCAAAATTTGCAGACATTTTCCTTCTTTTTATCAAGAATCAGGATGCTATACAGAGAAGACCAGAGTGTCTTTCACCTGAAGGATGTTCAGATGGAAAAAACAACTCCCTGGTTCATCCCTGCCCCATGGTTAATGTGAATCTTGCTTACATCACAAATGATGGAAGAACCTCCAGGCCTCCATCACGAGTTACCCAAATTCACTGGAGGACATCTATTCTGACTCCCGTTTTTGCCACTGGAATCCACCACAGACATTCACAGATCGAGGGAAGCAGGAGAAGGACTAAAGAGCTGCACAGCCGCGGTGCTTGTTCTTACTCAGCCACACAAATTCAAGCAGGCTTTTTTTCTCATTGCACCTTCAAATGTTGGCATTTGTCTTTAACGCACTGAAAAGAGGTTCCTTGAAAAATGAAAGTTTATCTTGTTTGGAGAAAAATGAATTCTCCGCTCCTCAGATAAAAGTGCCAAGGATTCCCATTAAATGCAGGGACAGGGCCCTCATTTCGGAAGGATCAGCTACGCAGACCTCTTGTTCTGCTTAGGAACTGGGGTTATTTTCACACCTTTTTTGCAAGGCCTGAAGGCGTGACACCAAACTCCAAAATGCAGGCCTGTGCAATCAAGGCTTGATAGATCTACACAGCACAGAGTTGGCTGGAGAGAGTAATGCCCACAGAACCGATGCCGTGGGGCTCCTTCTGGCAAACTGCACAAACGTGAACTGGTGGGGGGAAGGCTGGAGTGCGCTGGCCAGCAGAAGCCTGGAAGCCAATGAACTCTACCTGGATTCTCCCGATGGTGGCAGCGGAGCACTTCTGGAAAAGGAGGCGGCCGATCTCTTGGGCCCTTATCACGTCACTAGCAATTTCATCTCCATCCATGCAAGAACTCACCCCTCTGAATGTCCTACAGATAACTAGGAAATGATTCTATTTAACTATATAACTGACGAGGATTACAGGAACCCATTTTTTAAAAAAGAAAAAAAAACTGTATTCTTGACATCGCTGCCACTGAACAATGCTACCAACAGAGCTCATGGATTCAACTCCTAACTATCACAAATGCAACAATTATAAAGGTTTTTCTACATTGGAAGTAAGAATTGATCACAGGAGAATGTTTAAAATCAGCGTTTTTCGGTACCAAAAGTGGGGGGGGAGGAAATCTCTTGCCAACCTTGTCGAGCATCTCATTCAACGGTAACAGATTTGGCCAAGTTTCTTGGAAAGTCAACCTGAAAGAATGAAAATGATATAAAACCTTTTGAAATCTTTGTCACAGTAGAGATTAAGAATACTTGATGGTTCCTCAACACTGGCTTAGTTCAGAAGCTCTCACATTTATAGCCTAGCTGGTCCCCAGGAATCTGGTGGATCCACCTAACCTAACATCATACAGACTGAGGTGAGCTAGGGAGGCATGGTACGCTCTTACGGCCAGCCAGGTGTCACATTATTGACCTCCCTGGGCTAGCTGGGAGGAGAAGGCCTTTAGGGACAGGGAGAGCGAGGGAGATTTCTGAAGAGCTGTAACTTACATCGTAGCCTCTGAGGACAGCAAGGTGGAAAGCCAGCAGCTGTAAAGGAATCACACTCAGGATCCCCTGCAGACAGTCCACAGAATGGGGGACTTTGATGGTTCGCTTGTTATTTTTGATGGTCTCAATATCTTCCTTATCACAAATCACAACAGGTCGCCCCTACAAGGGTCCAAGAAAAAAGAGAGTGGAACGGAGATGTCTTCATCAGCTCAAAGACATGCGCAGGGGCCATTCATGGGGGTAGGAGTCAGGAAAGTCAAAATACATGGTGGTGCGTGTCATCTTGACTTTTTCTGACACCCACCTCTCCCATGGACACCCTTGCACACACACATTTTGCTTAAGGCAGTGTTGTCCAAACTTGGCCACTTTAAGATGAGTGGACTTCAACTGCCAGAATTCCCCAGCCAGCCATGAAGCAGTTGAAGTCCACTC